GAAATAAGAAAACGGAAGGCTAATTGGATTGGTCACGTTTTACGCAGAAACTGCCTTCTAAAAGAAGTTATTGAAGGAAAGATAGAGGGGCGGATAGAAGTGACAAGAAGACGAGGAAGAAGACGTAAGAAGATGCTGGATGACCTTGGGGACAGAAGAGGATATTGTCATTTGAAGGAGAAAGCTCTAGATCGCATTAAGTGGAGGAATTGTTTTGGAAGAGACTGTGGACCTGTCGTCTTGACAGATTACAGATGATGATGACTGAGTTCCATAGAAATTTTCTGAGGAAGAATCGTCTTGTCACAGACGGAAAATAACTAAGCCCGCTGGTCAACGAAATATTTTTATGTGCCGAGTACTTTAACTGACTGCTGGGAAAAAAAGAACTGAAACAGAGAAGTAAAAATGTGCAGTGCTAGAATTCTGAATTGCGGTTTGGATAAAAAAATATGTAAATACTCTCCTGCCATCTGCAAGTGTCAGTGTTGCATATGTAGGCCTAGAAACTATCTTGGGAATCAGTTGGGAAACAGATGCTTAGTGCAGAATACGTTATAGGATCGGAAATGTACGCGATTCGGAAGAAGTTCATGTTCAATTATCTCGAAAACCGCACGATTTACGGAAAAAATTGTACTGGGCATAGAACGCGTTCTTTTTTCTACAAATTTTATGCGAAATGTGTTTCGCTCGAATGAATAGTTATTCTCGTGATGCACGACGAAAAGCAAAGAGGTCTCCACATAGTGGGTGTTGTTTCTGTTCAATTTCAACAAAAACTCGAATGAGTCAACAAATTCTATTAAAGCCCCTTTATATAACACTTTGTGAAATCCCTTTCAGTGGTTCTAGAGTTGCTTCATGAGTACAGACTGTCAGATGGACGGGCAGAATGATCTCAACAGGCGCTCCGCGGGGTTAAATATGCGCATACATATGTACCACCTGCCATTTATTCATTGTCTTCTTAAGAGTGACCATTTTGAAATGGAACAGGGATAACTCAGTCAGTGTAACGACTGAGTCAGGGGCTGGGTGACCGAGGAATCGGGATTCGATTCCTGGCAGAAGCAAGAGATTTTTCTCTTCTCCATAACATCCAGACATGTTCTGAAGCCCACCCAGCCTCCTATATAGTGGGTACCGAGAAGTAATAAGGCAGGACGTGAAGCTGACCACACCTCCATCTAGTGCCAAAGAAAAGACTGGTGAAGTTATACGCCCACCTCCACATGTCTTCATGCCGTGTTAATTATGTAAGTAAGCCTAGGGGTAAATTTACCTTTACCTTACATTACTTTAAAATAATACATAATATATATAAATAGTATATATAATACTGTACTTGTGTAGGATGTTACATAAGGCGACCTGAACTGACGACATGAGAAATTTAACGGTCAATTAAAATTTTACGTCTAAACAATGAAATGAAGCAACAGGAATCCTGAGGTGGGAGCACAAAAATATTATTCCAGCCAGCCAGCCAGCCAGGATTGTATTTAGGGGAAGATTATGATTAAAAAATAATAAAAAATAAATAAATTCTGACAAACGAACTATGCTGTTGAAATAAAATGATGCGCCTTTCTTTGCCTATGCAGTCTATTCTGACAAATGTAAAGGTAAAGCTGTTCTTCTGCTCAACTAATTAAGCATCACATCACTGAGATAAATGGGGGAGTGAAGCTACAGCTCGACCAATCTTGATCTTGGGGCTAGATGGAGCTTCAAGCTCCAGCCGCTTTACCCTTGAGGAAACATTCCCACATGCCCATATGATGAGGTTATTCTGACTACTGAACTGAAAAAAAACTTTTTTCTCCAAGTTCCCAAATATTTCAGGGTTATAAAAGGGTTTAATCCCACTGACCTAACAGCCGTTAATTTATTGCTGAAAAAAAGCCACCTACTAGTGCTCTGTAAATCTCCTGTAACTCAAAAGTGACCATCTGTCTCAGTTGTAATTAGGTATTAACTCGGAATACAAAACAAAGGCTGCCAATCAGTGAACATAAAAAATCCTAGATTACAGGGAAACAGCAAAATTTCGAACATCAAAGAAAATATTTGAGCTTTGTGCTCCATTTCCAATCTTCTAAATGGTATATTCGTGAAAAGAATTAAAAGAAAAAATTTATTTTCACCAACCTGTTACAGGAAAAAACAGAATGGGCTGATTTTCCAAGTGCATTGGCACCAGGAAGTTATAACAGAGCCAAGAAGTAATTAAGTAAGTGCTTGAAATATATTAGATAAATGCATCTCCTTAGTGGTGCAGATGACAGCAAAATTATTATATACACCTCACTGTTCAAGGATGAAAAAAGGAAATTCAGAAACATGCTACTGAAACATGAATGGAATCTGGGTTTTCAAAATTTCATAAAGTAAAAGGTTAAGCTATCCCTGTAACAGGCCATGAAGGTCCATAAGGTTGTGAGACATTGAGGCTCCCACATTTTCTCTAGACACTTGGCTCACAGATGGCGGTAAGGCTGTCAGCCTTACACGTCAGCCGCCCTTCCTTCAACAAGAGGATTCCTGGTACTTATTTCTGTCAGAGGTTAAGTCGCCTCCAGGGCCCTAGTGCAGCTGGAAGGATTAGGTAAAGTGAAAAAATCTACCTCATCGGGACTCTAATCTTCAACCTTCCAGCTCGTAGCATAGTGTCTCAACCAGCTACACTACCATGTGCCCCTTCAAAATTTCATGTAGAATGAAATTCAAAATGCATTCATTCCTTTCTGCAACTAAGAGGAAAACTGTGACACAAGGTAGAAAAATATGCTGAATATGCTAAATAAAAAAATACATTGATGAACTTGATACCTTTCTATTCACTACTATCTGGATAAATATTTGTGTGGATATATCTGGTTACAAGAAATGCTACATTAAATGTGATAACCCTCAGGTTCAGGCACAAATCTTGCATCCTAATCAAATTCAAGATAAGGACTGGGGATGCAAGATTAGGTGTAAGCAAGTTTGGAATATTCAATAGAATTTAATTCTAAACCTTAAAAGCATAAACACTGGAAACTTCTTAAAACTGCTCCCTTCTTCCCTGTGGGTATTTCTTTTAAAATTGATGAACTTTGAACAGGAATTATTAGCTTAAATTATGTTAAATCTTCCATATACCAATGGAATCAAACACAGAAACAAATACTACTTTAGGAAATTATTATCCACTAAACTTTGTTGTCCTCCAAGTGTCATTAATTATGTACAATTCTCTGCATTTCCTGTTCTCCATTACAAAATTTAGACATTTCTTTCATACACAGACCCAGGATAGCAGAGTCAGTATAGTGACCAGCTACAAGCTGGAAAACTGAGGGGTCAGAGTCCAAGTCCTGATAGGGTCTAGAATTTTCTCTTCTCCACATCACACAGACCGGCTCTGGGGCCCACCCAGCCTCCTACCTAATGGGTACCAAGAGCTCTTTCCCTATGGGTAAAGCGCCCAGGGCATGAAGCTGACCACTCACCTCCAATTAGTGACAAGGACAAGAAAATGTGGATCTATATATCCACTTCCCCATACGCCTTCATAGTGCTTAATTAGTTAAGCAAAGGGACAATTTCTTTCATATATACATGCATACTCAGTCCAGTTAATAATTTTAAGCCAATTAATTAATTAATTTTCATGGTAATTCTCATTAAACACTTTACAGATCACAACACCCACTACTCCTTTGCATTAATTTTTTTTTCAGTCATAAGTTTAATATAAATATTAATGCTGTACATGAAGTTAAATATATAGTCTCATAAGAAATATCAATAAACAAAGAGGCACAAAATTCTTGACCTAATCACAGCTCCAGTCTCCTGTTCATGAGTTTTTGCAAGTAAAAAATGTTACCCAGTCTAAAATTCTGCAACGAATCACACAGATTCCAGATACATGGTATCATATCCATCTATGACACTGACCTAGATATGTGCAACTTAACATCTGTTACTAGGAGCCAAGGTGGAGGGACTATAAACTGCAGAAGCATCAAATAAATGATTTAGTACTCAGACTTGCTGGGTTTTTGGACTTTTTCTGTCATCCTGTATTTTAGAGACTAGAAAACATGACTTTGGTCCAGTGATTGAGTTTATCTCTTTCTAAGGGATATAACTGAGTAAGTGTCCTTCCCTTTCATCTGAGGACGGAACCAGATCAAGTTTCTGAAATGTCATGTTTTCTAGTCTCCAGAATACTGGACGATGGAAAAAGTCCAAAATCCCAGTAATTCAGAACCCTTTAGAATCTAAATGGTTTAGTACTTACCATCCCACAGGAATCAAGGAAGAGTAGAACTGTAAGCGGCTGTCAAACCCTAGGAACTGCAAAATTTTCAGTCAGCTGCCACCAGTCATTTGGTAAAATCTCCATAGTGTTCTCATTAAAAGATGTTTCATTCACAGACATCTGTTCTACACTCACTGTCATTGCCTTCAATTCCTATAATTTAATAAAGCAGAATATTGGCAAGCATTCCAATTAACCACGTGTGCAAATGTCCCATTATATGTTAGCAACACACAACTTTCCAACAGTATGTCAGCATGTTAAGGTCAAATATACTGTCTTACTAATGCCAGTTTATAAGTGGCCAATGAGACCTAACAAGCAGCAATAACAGGCTGCCTGCTACTTGCACTTTTATCCTTTTCACTCACACATCTTTGAACTTGTCATCAGTAAAGTCACTGATTTGACAATAAGATCCATTTAATTCTGGTTTCACTGTCTGTGGTATTCATTGTGATTCAGTCCCAGTTATGTTCATGTACTGCTGCTATACATTTAAACTTACCAACAGACTGAAAAAATACTCTTTCAGCTCTGAATATAATTCCATAAGCTTTAAACATCCGTGTAACACCAACAAATTTTACTGCACAAGTTATCAACAAAAGCTAATGTTACAAAATTACTACAAATGTATGTAACATCTCCTATTATCACATTCAAATGACTTGCTAACCTGCAGTACACTTTATACCTGACTCAGAAGTTACAACACATATAAAATAAATCAGCTTTAACTTTCCACAACATTAAATTAAACTGTTATTTTTTGTCATATGTTTCTTGTCGAGAAGGCAGAATCCTGGAATTATTACAGCTGAGAAAAAATGCCAATACTTTCTATAAGTTATCAAAAAAAGGAAAAGAAATAAGCACCACACAATTGTTATATAAATTTTCACAGAAATTCAACTGTATAGTAATAACTGTCAATCTCTGATACATTTCCTTTAAAGTAGTGCACATTCTATCAAACCTGTGGCCAACACCTTTAGTATCTTCAAAACACAAGGAAAACTTGAAAACACTCACTGTACACTCATCATTTAACACCATATTAATATATAAATTTCTGCTCATAAAAGCATTAACAGATACAACAAAGAAATGTGCTCATCCTTCTTTAAAAAAGTAATAAGATGTGCCTATCACACTCACACTAACACATTAAAAAGTTATATACTGTGAAATTCTTCAGTGTGTTTATTATTTATTCATTGCAAAAAAAATCATGTTTAATAAGTAGTCATAATTAAAAAATTCTTACAGCTTGCTCATTGTTACATAACCCCATGTGCACCCACATGATCTAACTCCATGCTCTTCAACATGTACCCATATATATACCATGCTTGAAATCAATGGACACACTGCAGAACTGACACTTCCCTAGGCTGTCAAGTTACTGGTATAGTTGTAAAGGTAACCACCATACAAGCTAGGAGAGTGGGTGGGAGTGATTATAACTTCAAGCATGCACTACTTGTAGTAGAATGTTGTGTTGTACTATCTAGCCTCTGACCTTGATGCTTTCTGGTTTAACAAGTGAATGCTTCAACATATACATCTTTGTGTCCTTCCTTACACATTCATTCAAACAGCATTTCTGTTCACATTACATTTTCTGATTTCTGATTTCAGAAGCCAGAACATAGTTATTTTAATGCCCATCAAGCTTTTGAAAGCAGGAATAGGCTTTAGACCAAATCCAAGGTTGAGTTCACAGTAGACAATAGATTAGGGTTTATTTGGCTGTAAGCTTTCAAGAGTCTGTTTTTTATTTTTATGTTAAAACTATTGCAGCACCTATGCATCATGCTGTAAAGGAACATAAGGGACATGAAGGCAGAGCTCCATCCACTCTACACTTCAACATTACTGGTAAGTTGGCACATTACTAGTTATGGTGGCAAACAGAACCCCCCCCCAGTCACACTTTACTGAGTGACCTACCCTGGCTTATTTGCAAATCTTTTAACAACTCAGAATATAAATTATTATCTATAATTCATCTTCAACTAACTGAAGTACACACAGAAAATAAATACTTTGCTTAATGCAATTTCATCATTAATTTTTATCAATTGTCTATCATATTCCAAAATTTGGGTTTAGGGATCTTGATTTTTTTATTTAGCAGCAAATTAAATGAGAACTGAACAAAATAGGAATGGGGAGGAAGTGGTCATAACCTATTACAATAATTCCATGGAATGAACTGAGGTAAACCATGAAAAACATCAATCATGTTATCTTTCAAATACTTGCAGACATGTTATTATTTCAGCTAACCTGTCCAGCATTGTTTCAGCCAAACTTATATATATATACATATAAGTTGAGTTCCATTCAGACAACACTATTACACTTCCAAAGTTGGCAGTACTGCTTCATTTAATTCTAGTACTGAAATTATTCAACTCCACATACTGCAGTATTAATATGGCTGGTGATATAAGCATTCTATTTGCCTTTTGGGGTACCTCCGCTCTCCCAATTTAATTCTGGACAAATTTCAAAGTTTTACAGAATTGTAACAAAAATTAGCTTCACATCATACCCAGTGGTTCTCTTAGTGAGTATAACATAATGCTGGCTTAAAGAAACATTTTAGTGAGGAAGATGAGAACAATTTAGTTAAGCTGATTAAAATGTGTTTAAACGAAACATATAGTAAAGTCTGTATAGGTAAACATTTGTCTGATAAATTTCCTATCCAGAATGATCTAAGACAAGGAGATGCTTTATTGACACTCCTTTTCAACTTTGCTTTAGAATATGCCATTAGGAAGGTCCAGGAAAACCAGGTGGGACTGAAATTAAACAGGACACATCAACTGTGGTCTAAGCTGATGATGTGAATCTACTGGGTGATAATGTAGATACCATAAAGAAAAACACACAGACTTTAATTGATGCAGGTAAGGAGGTTGGTCGAGAAGTAAACACAGAAAAAACTAAGTATATGTTGCTGTCCCATCACCAAAATGCAGAGCAAAATTATGACATAATGACAGAAAACAGATGTTTTGAAAATGTGTCACGGTTCAGATATTTGGGAACGATGATAACAAATCAAAACCTGATTCAGGAGGAAATTAAGAGGAGGTTCAGCTCGGGTAATACTTGCTGCCATTCAGTTCAGAACCTTTTGTCTTCTCGTCTGCTGACCAAAGACATAAAAATTAGAACATATACAACTATAATTTTGCCTGTGGTTCTGTATGGGTGTGAAACTTGGTCTCTGATATTAAGGGAGGAACATGGACTGACGGTATTTGAGAACAGGGAGTTGGGGAGAATATTTGGCCTGAAGAGGGATGAAGTGACAGGAGGTTGGAGAAAACTGCATAATGAGGACCTTTCTAACTTGTACTTTTCTCCAAGTATAATTAGAATGATCATGTCAAGGAGGATGAGGTGGGCAGAGCATGTAGTATGAATGGGGGAGAAGATGAATGCATATAGGATATTGGTGGTAAAGCCACAAGGAAAGAGAACACTGGGAAGACCAAGGTGTAGGTGGGTGGATAATATTAAAATGGATCTTAGAGAGATAGGATGGAATGGTATGGATTGGATTGATCTGGCTCAGGATAGGGATCAATGGAGGGCTCTTGTGAACACGGCAATGAACCTTTGGGTTCCATAAAATACTGGGAAATTCTTGAGTTGCTGCAGATTTGGCTTCTCCGCAAGAAGGGCTCAGCTCCATAAGTAAGTAAGTAAGATGAGAACAATTTAAACATCTTACAGAGAGGCAACAAACTATAAATATGAAGAGTACAGTCTTTTGGGTCTTAATGCTGTGTAGTTCAAACACAGCATGGCACTTTGGTGTTGAGCATAACTGGCTACCTGCTTCTTCTGGTTTCTTGCTTGGTTTACTCTTTGACCCTGAAGATGGAGGCAATATGTTCCTCTGAACTGTCAGGCTCTCTCTGAACTACATGGCATTACAACCCAAGAGGCTTTAGACTCTTTAGAGTTGCCACTGTGGGAACTTGAAATCCAACATACTATAAATAAAAGAGATATATAATGGGACAGTCTACACAACAGTTCTGAAAGGGACAAATAGACACTACTGTGTCAACATTTGTTTTATTAGCTGTTAGTGGTAACGCTACATGTTTCAACCCTTTTCTTGGGTCATTTTCAGATATACAAGAATACAAGTACTAGTTCTTGAATTGCCTTATTGATCAACATGAATTCATATTGTTTATATGACATGTAGCATTACCACCAACAGCTAATAAAACAAATATTGACACAGTGGTGTCTAATTGTCTCTTTCAGAACTCAGAACTGTTGTTGTGTAGACTGTCCCATTATATATATTTCGTATTACACACAACAAGAAGCATACCATAAATGTTGAAAACACTATAAATACACCTTAATATGAATGTAAGAGCATGTGTGTCTGTGTACGCATGAATAAATAAATGAATGAACGAATAAATGACAGTAACCCAAAGAGACAAAAAGCACTGCTATAATAATGCATTCTTTCAAACCACAAATACTGGCAGTCTTCCTTGTTATGGGAAGGATACACTCACAGCAGCTCTGTGCATATCATGTCAAGAACGAGAATGTTTCATATATGACCCGGGGGNTAAGAAATGAAATTTTGTACATCTTATGTGCAAACCACCTTTAATAAGTTAAATTGTATATTATCATTATGAAACATATACAATAATAAAATTTACAACAAGCAAAATAGTGTGGTGCAACATACGTAGTAACACTCCTGCTGTACAAGCAGTTACGAAACTAAAGGCAAACTAATTACAGCTCACATAATTCTAGCCACAGTACTAACATATATTTAAATGCTATGCAGAAGATTGCAAATGGAACTGAAGATAAACAACCAAACTGAACCTTCAGACAGCACCAACACACTGCAACATTTCTAGTTTCCTGGCTGAAGATCCAAGATTACTGTATGTAATCTGTGAGTAATTATACAGACTAATCCTGTACTGTATATCAGCTATCAGAACATGCAGAATATTTGAGTGTACAAGTTGTAGTAAACACCTCAGATATTTTAAGCTTGAATGAATTGGAAGAGCTAAAGCACCAATCATAATAAGTAAAATTATAGCACGCAAATATAACATTAAACAGGTCAAACATTACTATTCAAAACTCATTTTTGATAAGGCAGTTCACTGGTCATAAACTGTGGAATTTCTTCAAGTGAACATGACATAAAACTTTTTGAAAATCTCCTTTTAGAATAATTAGCAAAATACTTGGTATTTCTGTAAGTAAATATAACACTAAATTAGTCAAATATTCTTAGCTTAAAACAATTTTATAATCTATTCATGGAAAAATCACAAGCACAGATCAAAATATATGAAATTTTTGTAAGTAAAACTGGCACCACAGGGCAGAGTACTTGGAACATTTGCAAGCATAAATTACATTAAATAATAAACTATTATGGAAAATACTTTGAAAATATACTTTTATTTTATAAAACTGACAACCTTGTTCAGATTCTCATTCATCACTCCTATTCTGAGAATGAAAACGCCATTTTCCCCACTTAAATTCCACAACAAAATATTTACTATGTCAAACACTGCCTGAAGGTAAATATCATTCCATTTTCTTGGCCATTAAAAAACTTTAGAAAATCAGGAGGAGGAGGAAAAGATGAATGCAGTAAGTGTTGAGCATTACCCCTCTCCCCCCTCCACAGTATTCAAGCATGTAAGAATGGTATGACACAATCTTCCTACATGTTGAAAATGGTAGGGATGAAGTAGGGGAAGTGAGAGTGATAAACTTGGGGAATGAAGGTGATCTCATACTCACAGTGTTGAAAATTTGGGTTGTCAGGGTATCAGTCTGCTGGGCACAGTAATTTGTAACATATGAAAAATTGTGTTTGAACAGCATTATGTATTTCTGTACAGAAATGCTAAATTAACCTACACTTTGTGGCAAATCCTGTTTTGGAGGTCACACTCTCTCCCTGCCTTCAAGACCTTCATCCTTCATTTCACAAGAAAACCTTAAGCAAGGACATTATCAGATGAAGGCCAAGGTCATTACAGGCGTCCATAAAGTGTCCACACCAAATCAAATCAGAGCAAAAATGCATTTGGCATTCTCAAGAGCAGCTGTCAAAGAAAAATGTAGTAACTTCATTTTGTAAAGAAATTTGTCTTCCAAAACACAAATCTCCCTTGTAACACTGCAATGACTTCCATCAAATGAAATATGAACTTAAAAAGCTGGATGACTCATGACATACATAGCAACAAAATTAAGTATTTTCAGGCAGTCATGTTAAGATGGAATGGAATTCCAGCACTTTTGGAACTGGCAGTGTCTCCATTATCAGCGATGGATGTGATTTATGATGGTTCCAGCTTATTCAAAATCTATTATCCCTTGACATGGATGACTTGAATGAATATGCTTCAGTGTCTTTAACTTACTGTGAAAGTCTCAAATCAAATGTTTTGGCTGTATCAAATATGAAGATTATTTAGCTTCAGACTAGATGATAATGTACAATGAAGGGGAAAGGATGAAAGGTGTTGGAGTTGGAAAGGACTAGAATCGAGCTGAGAGCAACTCAACAGAGAAACAAGGCCGCTACCAAAGGGTGTATGGGAAGTTACTCTGACTTAAATTTTCAAACCGAAAGTGTTAAATTGGAAACAAACTGTCAATATTGCACTAACTAAAATAGAGAATTGCAAAAAGCAAAAGAAGAAATTTTAACTTATAAAAAAATAATAGAAATACTTCAAGCTGAATTAAGAGAAAACTCGTTACTAAATAATCCGAGTGAGGTAGAACAGAACAACAATTATTTTGAACAGGATAAAGCATCATTAATG